GGTAGCTGCCACAGCGTGGCCACCAACAAGTGGTATAGGTCTGTGCCTGGGAACTGAACCTGGGCCGCTGAAGTAGAGCATGCCAAACTTAACCACCAGCCCCAAGAAGCTCTGTGTTTTATCTCTTCTTTTTATGACCCCTGCAGGGAATGGCAGCACCCTCCAATTATTCTGGAGGTGAGTGTGGAGAAGTGAGTGGAGATGGCACCGGGAGGCCAGTGGGAAGGTAGCAGTAACCTAGACAAGAAATGAAATGGACCTGAACTAGCCAGTGAGGAAGGGGAGAAGGTGAGGGACAGACGAGTCTGTGAGATAGTAATAATATCTCACATAAGAATAATCTCACATAGTAATTCTTTAAGGGAGCACTTACTAAATGCTAGGCTCTGGGGTAAACCCTTTACGTGCATTATCTTCATTTATTTCTCCTTACAACGATGCTCAAGTTTTATTTCCACGTTTTACAGACAAAGAAACTGAAGCTAGAAGAGATTCAATAACTTGCCCACGGTTGTGCAGCAAAGCAGTATTCAGCCCTGGCAGTGTGACTCTGTGGCCTTGCTTTTACACACAGTTCCATGTGACCCCTGCTCTGCACTAGAGACACGCTTGATAGGACTTGTTGACTGTTAGATGTGAGATGTGAGGGTCAGAGGGTCAGGTGACTTCTTTTGTGTTTCAGTGGAAAACTATGGATGAATAGTATTGCTATTCCTTGAGAGAGGCGTTAAAAGATAATTTTCAAAGGAGGTAAAATCATGACTCTCATACAAATATAAAATGAATACAGTTTAAAGATTTTATTTAACTTGTTATTCAGGAGGGAATTGGTAAGATGTTACGACCAGTTCAAAGGAGACTCACATTTATAGATCAGGAATATTGACATGAATATGCAAATGGACGCAAAACTAGTGTTTTCCACAGTGGGGAATGGAAGCCAATTAAACCACTGTTGGATATAATTTACATGTCTATAGACAAAAATTATTTTGCATTGCTGTTAATTGTCTATAATTTAAAGAGTTTTACAATAGCTTCCGTAGAAGCAAAGTCAGATAACACCAAAGGGTGTGCTCTAGACAATGCATGTCTGTTTACTTACCTACTTATTTATTTAGTTATTTTTTTTGACTATGAAAGAAGAAAACAAATACTTATTGAATGCCATTTATTTTTAAACTGTGCCCTTCCATATAATTATTTATTGAAATACATTTTTTTTCCCCTACAGAGGGTAAGGAGGATGCTATTAGGGAGTGAGTAGGGGGCTGTTGGGGAAGAAAATGAGGTTAATTTTGCACATATTGCATTTGAGAAGCCCATGGCATATTCTGTTGGTAATGTCCAATGAGGAGCTAAGTCTGTGGCTCAGAAAAAATAAAGCAACCAAGAAAACATGCAGCCTGCTTAGGAAATGATAGTAATAATAGCTATTAGTTATTAAACACTTACCAGGACTTATGTGAAGCACTTTACGTGGATCACACCATTTAATCCTTATAACACTCTTACGAAGGAGTATGTATGATAACTCCTGTGTTATAGAAAGGGAAACTCTAGCTTAGGAAAAGTAAGTGACTTGCTCAAGGTCACATGGCTAGTAAGTGGCAGAGCTTCCGCACTGGGCACAGTTCTCTAAGTATCCCCCACGGCGGGGCACGTTGAAAGATCCAGAGCACCGGAATGTAAAAAGATAGACATCTTTACCTAAAACTGGCCCAGCAAGGGGTACTATTCATATACATTAAAGAGAATTTCTGAAAATGTAAAATTATTCTTGGACCTGAAATGCCTCAGGAGCCTTCTGATTTAAAGGATGTGCAAGAAGCCAAAGCATTTATGTTTCCTCTTTTGCTGGATTGCTGGCACCTAACTAAGTTTATCATTTTTTTTATGAATGGGAAAAACTAATACTGTTTTCCAGTATGATTTATGGAATAATTTCCAGACTAAGAAATAGAACCCTTTCTTCCCATTGAGTCTTTTCAAGATTATGGCCATAGAGTAGGTCTAGCATAGTCATGGTCAGAGAAGAGGGAGGGATAAACAGGGAAAAAGATGCATGTGGAGATTCAGAAACACAATGATGTACACAAGGGGAAAGACCTGCAAAATCCCAGACACAGTGGGAAAGATGCTCATCGATATAGAGGCAGGTCCACACACCCATAGGCAGAGGGAGAAAGGGAGAGAGACATACAGATATTTTCAAGGAGTAGTATCCTTGTCATATGACTTTCATGATATCACTGTTAAGACTTCTGAAGTCATTTGAACATTGGAAAGCACAGGCTTAAGTGGTGAAGTAAAGAGCCCTGGACGTATGATGTGGAGACCTGTGTCCTGACTCAGCCACTTGCTCCATCACCTTGGACAAATCAATTGACATGTTCTTGTCTGAGGTTTCTTAATTGTTAAATTGTGTAGTACAGCCTTCTTCATGAAGACAGAGCTTCTATAGCAACAAACTCAGCTACTCTCACTAGTATTTGGCAGAGATTCAAAGGCAGTCAGGGGAATTTCTTTTTATAGTGAGGAAAGGGGAAGGATTCAGGTATGTTCTCATTGGAACCTGTTAGCGCCAGGAAGGTGGGGGCAGGCTACCAGAAACAAGGCATCATATGTGACTGGTTTGGGGAGTATATTTGACTTTCTTTTGTTGGTCCTGAGCTGGAAGTAGAGACAAAAATTAGAGAAGCTGGCAGTCATTGACCAAGTCCTGACTGTTGTAGACTGATGGCTGCAGAGACTGTGGGTCAGAGTTCTGTTGTTGAAGATAGTCTGGCCATTGTCTGTTTGTGTATTGCATCTCTCAGTACAATATATTCAGTACAATAGACGAGATTAGGCTCAGGGTCACCGCTGTGTCCTCGTGGTATGTCACTGTGGTCTGGGTAGTTTACCTTGCCATGTTTCACGGTGGGCACTGAACCTCCCCAGCCAACTTCATGAAGAATGCTAAAATGTCAGCTCTGCTTTGAGGGAGAAAAAACCATCTCCAGAAGTCATCTAGATTGTATTCAGTGGAGCAGTTTTTCATTAAGAGTTTCTATGTTAAGGGTTCTGCACCCAATTCCAATGTGTGTGTGGCGTTTTCTGCTACACTGCCAAGCAATTCTTGGATAACAGCTGGGTGTCCTACAATTTCAACTCAATTCTGATATTATCTACATGGAGGTAGAATCAGATTCCACAGGTTAAGGGCTCAGTCCTACAAGACTGTTCCCCCTTCCGCTTCAGATGCCAATCGCAAGTCCAGGTTGTCACCTGTGCTTTTGAGGACCAGCTATAAATCAGAGGTCCCCATGACATCCTCCTCAGGTTATATTAATTTGCTAGAGTGGCTCACAGAACTCAGAGAAACATTTTACTTACTAGATTACTGGTTTATTATAAAAGGATGTAACTCAGGAACAGCCAGATGGAAGAGATGTATAGGGCAAAGTATGTAGGAAGGAGTATGGAGCTTCCATGCCTTCTCCAGGCCCACCATTCTCCCCAAATCTCCACATGTTCACCAACCCAGAAGCTCTCTGAACCCCATCCTTTTGGATTTTTATGGAAGTTTCATTACATAGGCATGATTGATTAAATCATTGGCTATTGGCCATTGATTCAACTTCCAGCCCCTCTCCCATCCCTGGAGGTCAGGAGGTGGGACTGAAGTTCCAACCCTCTAATCACATGGTTTGTTCTCCTGGCAACCAGTCCTCACCCTCGGTGGGGGAGGTCCAAAAGTCACCTCATTCATATAACAAAAGACACCTTTGTGCTCTTAATACTTAGGAGATTTCAAGGATTTTACGATCTCTGTGCCAGAAATGGGAATGAAGACCAAAGGTATATTTCTTATTATAAATCACATTATCACATATGTTAAAAAGTGAAATAGGTCAGGAAGAAAGTCAAAACTTGGAACAATCAAGAGGAGCTAGAAGAGCAGGCCAGAGTGGAGAGAAGTGCCTTGCATCTGTACTTTCCTACAGAGCTCACTCTTTCCTGACTCCCCAGTTTTTGAATCCCTCCCGTATCCAAACCAGGGGCCTCTCTGTGAGGTGAGGTTGGCCATCCAAATCTGACAAAGAGGAGAAGTGAAGGCCAAACCTTTTCCGGCTGTGAGTCCCATCCTCCTCAGATGTGAGAGAGAATCCAGGGCTGAGTCCAGTTGGTCAGAAACTGCCTTTGACATGGTTTTGCTTTTGTTCTTCTTTTTCTTTCTTCCCATACTCTCTCTATTAAAGACTTACTGGCTGCGGCCTTTCTCTAGTAAATTTCATTGGATTTGGTTGACTCTTAAGAGGAGGCAGCTCCGTTTGCCTCTTAAAGCAGAGTTGTAAAGGAGGATCCGAGCAGGAGGTCTTTCTCCTCTGGCTGCTGGATGCAGCTCCAACAGCAGGTGGGGGTGGCTGTTTTCCGTGGAATAGGTCTGATTTGGGTTACTATTGTGCCACCTGGAGCACCCCCTTTTGTGGTAGAGTGCATTCTAGGGGAATGAGCACCCTCAGGCAACACATTCCTTTAGAAACACTCGAATGAACTCAGTGAAGCCCCCTGTCCTTTATGGTCTTTGTTAATAGACTCTTCATCCCCTTCTCTTTCTCCCCTCATCTTCTCCCCAACTCTTTAAAAGAGAATAAAAGACCACTTGAAACAATCAATTTCTAGTTTTTTTTTCTTTTTCTTTTTAATCAGCTGATACCATGAGAGCACCATTTTAGTACAACTATATCTTTTGCAAAGTAGGGGGTTTTAGTTGATATCTATGAAAATAGTTTATGTGGGAAAGAGTTTGATTGCTCAGAGGGCAGTCTAGAACAGCTCTCTTTTCTAAGATGAACTTGGAACCTTCTAGAAGCCTTCAAATGCACAGAAATCTTGCTTATCTTCCTCTTGCATTAGAAGGAATTGGAGCTGGGATAGGGTCAGGAATACCAGTAGTAGCCCTGTGGCCCATCAGGGAAGGGTAGGGGGCGGCTTTCACTACACAGATATGGTTCGTAGCTGTGAGGGCAATGTTGCTGCAATGGAGGAACCAGAGCACTGTAAATCTACTGTGTGCATCTGACAAGCCATTAAGGTCATTTTTTATTTATAGGAAAATCAGGAAAATGGCCACAAGCAAAGCCAGAAAGCTAAAGAGTTTAAGTATTCTTGCAAAGGGAGATGTGGGTTTTTCTACAATTCGAGTTTTGGTGGCCTTGAATGTTCGATCCCACTGGGTCAAGATGGCATTTCTGGCTCCTTCCCATTTCCCTGGGCCAGTCAAGCGGAACTGGTACGAGGTACATGGGCCAAAGAAGACGGTCAAAGCTAGGCGTGGATCCATCAGGAGCATGGAAAGCAGGTTGGGTTTCGCGTTCATATAGGTCAGGAGTTCATCTACGTATGTGATATAATTTGTTTGTAAAGCATTGTAGTAACAGAAGCCAAACCTTTATAAAAGGAAGATTGGGGATAAAGGGGCAGACAAAAAGATAAAATAATGATAACCTTAGAACAGTAAAAGTGCCAAAAGTAAACAATGATGCTGCAAAATTTGGAATGACTTCTGTATTCTTCCCTCCATGCCCATAACTGTCTAATGGTCTCATTGTATTATTGAAATACAAGATGGGTTCCTTGAAAAGAGACTCTATACACACGGAGCTCCAAATGCTCGTAATGCATCTAGTATTACTTTAGTTCTTCTGTGAAATGATTAGCAATTTCTAGAAAAAGAGATCTTACATAATTTTACTATTCCTAAATCTTTCTAAAACTCAATTATTGTTAGATTTGCATAATGTAAAAAGCCACAAATATCAATAGGATGGAATTCCCTGTAATGCTGGTATTAGTCTCTAATGTCCTTGACTGGCCTATGTGACAAGAAGCTTTTACATTGCATAGCTCAATTAATTATCTATGTTATCTTAGAGTTCCATAATGGAGATCAAATCATATTTCAGGTTGAAGATGAAGAAGAAACATTTCAAATGCTTTTATTGTTTTGGGATTTAGCACTTTGACAAGGATAGAAGTTTGGAAATATGATTTTAAAACTTGTTTTTCTGCCACAGAATCCCCTCTTTTAAGTGAAAATTTATAGCAAGGTCCAAAACAGATAAACAGATAAAACCAGAGATGTTTTAGGTGGATTAGGAGTGAGCGTGGGGGGCCCCAAGACTCCCTCCCTTGCTGGCCATCTCCCTTCCATTATCCCTGGCCCTTTAGTGGTAGTCAAAGAACAGAGCACAAGGGGACACCACTCCTCCAGAGAAGAGGTTGACAAACTTATTGTGCCAAAGGCTAGACGGTAGATACTTTAGGCTCTGAGGGCCAGACTATGGCCTCTACCTCACCTATTCAACTCTGCTGTTGTAACTTGAAAGCAGCCACAGGGGATATGTAAATGAACGAGTGCGGCTGTGTTCTAATAAAACTTTATTTACGACCACTGTGATTTGAATTTCATATAATTGTCACATATCACAAAATATTCTTCTTCCTCTTCTTTTCCAACCATTTAAAAATGTAAAAGAGAAAAACAGGTGGTCAGCAGATTTGGCCTACCGGCCATAGTTTGCCAACTCCCGGTAGCCGTCTGAATTAAGACAATAGAGCTGAATACAGATTTGTGAATGAAAGAATGAGCAGACTCTTCTAGTGTCAGAGGATAAACATGGCAGTTTGCCTGCTGATTGTGAATAAGGCATAGAATACTGTATCTGGTAGATGAGGGTTAATTGAATTTGATTTAGAATCCAAACTCCATGTGGTGCTAGCTAATCATGGTCTGAAGTGATGATTTTGGGACATGGAAACTTCTCAATTTCCCTTTCCCTCCTCTCTCCTTAAACGACCGATCCTAGTTTTTTTCTCTAAGCCTCAGGTGCTTCTTCTCTCTCCAGTGTAGCTCACCTCTCTTTGCTGTTGTTTTACCAATTTCAGTTATGATTCAAAAGGGATGCATAAGTAGTTAACTTACCCACTGGGCTTGTTTTCTTTTCTTGCATTAACTTCCTCTATCATGACACTTGGTGGTGGTAACTTATTCACACCTACAAACAAACAGAAAATGCAATTTAACTTTAGAGGAGCGTGCGCACTTAACCGCTAAGCCACGGGGCCGGCCCCAATTTAACTTTAGATCTAGGTGCTTACTTGGTGGGTAAAGATGCCTTTACTGCTCATCTTTTATTTCTAGTAGCCAGATACTCATCTGTTCTTCTGGCAAAAATGTTAGCAGCCTATGTAGACTGGGTGGTATGCTCCTGGTAATAATACCACCAGCTTAAAAGAGAAGTATCTGGTTATCTCGCTAGTTATTTGATATGACAGAACCTCACAACTGGTTTGACTGAATTTTATCCCTCAATTGATTGAACTTTTGGATTTTAACTGAACCAGTTGATTCAGTCAAAATACCAGATAGATACAGCTTACATTTTTTGACCCTTCATTTATCTTTTGTGCTGATAATGGTACAAATTCATTATGATAGTGTAATTCAGTGAACAATAGAATGGATGCTGCTTTTAAAGATTCTATTGTTTTAGATAGGAGCTGGGGATGGTCTGAAGATTTCCAGTATCCAAAGTCCCATGGCAAACTGAAAACATGTGCCCAGCTGTTTCTCATGCACTTACCTTTCAGGACACGAACAGCCCATCGAGCTTGTATTTCTCCTGTGGGAACTTGGGAGCCAATGGGTTTGATGAGGCCAATAATGGCCAGGGTTGATTTTTGCAGATGTGCAGGGAACATGTACTTGTATAGCAATGCCTGGCCATCTTCAACTTTCACTACAGTCTCATCAAGAAAAGGGAAAGCAAAGGTGTATCCAGTGGCAAAGACAATGATATCGATGGGCTCTTCCTTTGGGGTGTTGTTAAATATGACGGAGTTTTCCTTCACCTCCTTTACACTTGGCTTGATGAGCACTTTCCCAGTGATGATACGGCCTGGGAGCTCATCATTTATCACAGGCTCTTTCATCTGTGTCCTAAAGAAAAACATGGACAAGGAAGAGAATTGCCAGTGAACAATGCAGTCAGCCCTCCCTCCTCGTTCCCTTCCGCTCTTCATTCTGGGACTCTCTGCTTGTCTAGGCAGGAGGTGCCAATCTTGGGAGAAGTTACCTCTGTGGGAGAGGATTCATGAATGCCCAGAAAGGATGATGAAATGTGCTTATCATTTAGTAGAGTTTGGAAGACTGAGAAGGCAGTCAGAGCTTTCTCTAGCTCCTGTTTCCCTTGCTGAATTTCAGGATTCAGCTATCACTGTCATTGTAGAGATAGCTGAATGCTGAAGGACTACAAGGGAAACCAGGGACTTCTATATCTGCTGAAAATGGCTGATGCTCTCTCCTCCTAGGAAGCAATTGTATAAGGAAAACACACATGTGTTTAAAAGGAACAAGGGCAGAATTATCTTTTTCTGGCTATGCCTTTGGAATCACTAAACAAATACTTTGTGAGATGATTTTAAATAAGTCGAGCCATATTTGGCTTATAGTGAATGCAGAGAAAGAGACAGTGTGATAAAATGGAAAGAGCACTGAGATAGGAAGTGATAAGGGTGGCTTCTTGTCTAAATGTCTATACTTAACAGAGCTTGCGAAAGTCATTTGGTCTCTACAGGCTTTCTTTTATTCATCATCAGTAAAATAAGGATACTAATACTTGCCGTCCTTAGTTCCTTGGCTAGGATGAAGAGCACATGAAATAGCATATATGCAAGAACTTTGGAAATGATAAAAGATTAACTAAATCTAAGAGAGAAGGGATTATCATTCCTCAGGCTCCTTTCACATTTTCTAGGTTTGATGGGATTAAGTCAAATTCTTTATAGTCCCATGAGCTGCCATCCAGGCTAGATAAAGCTTATGGTATAAAAAGCTCTGGTGGAAAGAGTCAAAACCCATGAGGGGCTGGAGGTAGAAGAGGGTAGGTAAGAAATAAGGAAGGAAAAGAGGAGACAAAAGAGGGAAGGGGGGATCAGGGTGAGAGGAAGGTACACGAGAGAAGGATGAAGAGAGCAAGAGGAAAGAAGTGCCTGTAGTAGGAAGGGGGCTGCGTGCCATCTCTGGTGGCTTGGGTGCCACCTGATCCATGCTGGTCCAGAGTGAACTCTGGAGAAAGATCAGACAGGTTGTGCACCCTGGTAATGGAATATCATTGTACAAACAGTGAATGAGGAGGTAAAAACCATTGATTCTTGTTGACGGGATGAGCCATAGGTTGTAACTAAAAGGACAGACTGAAATCAAGGTCATCTTGACAAGGGCAAGAAGACACTCCGATTAGAGATCGCGACAGGCAACAATGGGAGTCGATTTTTCCCACACAGAGAAACAAGGCAAGTGTGTTGCTTTTGTCAAAAGAGTCATAGACAGATCATTTTCCTTTGATTGCTGCAGCTAAGGCTTAAGCAACTTACTTTCCAAGGTCACAGAGCTCACTTAATACCAAACGAGCTTGGGCAAGTGACTGAACTTCACTAAGCCGCAGTTTACCCATAATAAAAGGGAGATTACAATGATATTCACTTTAAAGGCTATTGACAAGATGAAAGACACAATTTCACTTACCGAGAACTCCAAAACAGTTAGCTATTATGATCAAGTAAATTTGTATGAAGTTTTCCTTCATATCCAGTCATGTTGTTGGGTAATTGCCTAGTTTGGATATGCCACTGGAAGGACTGAGGCTCCTTCTTCCTAATAGCCCTTGGCAGATACACTGTATTTACCTGTCTTTTGGAGCCAAGCCATAATTTGCATGATTGAACCAGCTGTTCATCTTTTTTGCCATCAACCAAGTCACAATTGGAGTTGGGAGACAATTTATGAGCATGTTCTGAAATCGAGTTGTGAACAGCATGTCCCACGGGTACCCTGAGTCAAAGACTCGGCTGATCACCCATGACCCTTGAGTGGTGCTGAGGAACACCTGGAAGCAATCAAAGAGGTCACTCAGTTTCATACAGTGAACAGGGCTGGCCTTGTGAGACATTTGAGAAGTTTCATGAATTGAATGGCACCAAAAAGTCTGTCACTCTCAAAATACATCCCTGACAGGATAGTTTTGGCTCCCCTAACTCCTATATTAAAGTTATTCTTTTGAGATGATGGTTTGAATATCTAGAGTATTAAAACATCTTAGGGCTTATTATTGAGCACTTAGCCTCAGTGCTAGACACCATGATAAATGAGGTACTGTAGCAAGACGTGGGGAGCTTACAGTCTCCTGTAAGAAGACAATGAACAGGTGAATGAACAACTTTGTACATTAATAATTGTGGGCAGTAATAACAGGGTATGGCAGCAATTGAAAGTTGTCTATAAAGGATTTCAACAGAATCCGTTGTTTGAACTGGGAGTACAATTGGTTTTGGTGAAATTTTTTCTTTTTTTTTTTTTTTTTACAGATTGGCTGTTTGAGTTTACCAGCTGATTGAGTTCACTAAGCTAATAATTGTTTTGGTATCTATGCAATAGGAGTGGTCTATATAGCTGTTTAAAAATTGAATGATTTAGTCAACCAATGTATCACTTTGCAGATACAAAACAACTGATTTAACAGATGTTTTTTCTCCAACAAACTTGGGCATGGTGACCACAGCTACAGTGTCAGAGTTCTTGTCATCTATTTTGTTTGGCTTTATAATGGAGCAGTATACTCTATATGGGAAATGTGGGGGCAAGAACTGTGAGCATATCAATGATTCTGACATTACTCTTATTTGCACTGAACCTGCCTCTCTGTGTCATGATGCACAATCGGATAGGACACTTTGGTAGAAATGAGTTATGTTCTAAACCAAGAGGAGTTTCTTGGTTGATATAGAAATGATAAGATGGATGCCAAAGCATATTTTCTGATTGAAGAAATTTGCAAATGATTAGAGAAATAGAAATAATAATATGCTACCCACATGTGGTGATCATAGTGGATGGGACTGTGTTAATTTTGTTTCAGGACCTCCTTTCTTTTCCTTCAGGATAACTCCACAAATTGCTCAGTCTCTCCAAATCAATCAATCAATCAATCAACGAATTGATTGTTGAGTCCTTTGTCGAAAGTCCCATAAGGGAATATCAAAGTTATACACTCCCAATCCTTTTTCTTCATAGCTATTTTCACGCTTGCCATTATTGATCTAATAATTTATACTTATTTACTTAGCATCTATTTTCCCCATGACTCCATGCTCCCTGATAGCGAGATTCTTGTTTTGGTTGTTCTGTTCTACAGTGTATCCCCAGCGCCTGGTACAGCATTGGACACATCAGAAGCCAACAACTAATATATATCTGTTGGCTGAATGGCTTTCAATGAGCTTATAGCACAGTTGGAAAGAAAATGTATACTATGCACAGTAATTAGATATACTGAGAATTAAAAAGTGCCAACTGAGGAGCGTAAACAACAATTATTACATAAATTCTTACTTGGGGTGAGATAGCTGAATGTAAATGTAAATTATAAAGAGAAAAGATCACTGCAGAAGGGAGGAGTATGGTGTCAGCAAAGGGGAAAACAGAGACACGGGAATTGCAAAGGGCTGAATAGACCTGTCAGGCTGCAGTTGATCATCGTGTGGGTAAATAGTGGGAGATAAAGTTAAAATGGCAGATTTGGATCAGAATATGGAGAACTCTAGGATGCAAGGCTAATGCATCTGCAATTTATTATTATTATTTTTTAGGTAAGGGGAGTTAGAAGTTTTTTAACATGAGAGTGTCATAATGAGAGCAGTCTTTTCAGAGGATTTTTTTGTTAGTGGTTGGGCGTCTGGATGGATTATTGTGTGTGGGTGCATGGACTGGGGGTGGGGTGCAGGGATGTGGGGTAGAATTAGGAACAGGGCTTTGAATCAAAGAGGTTGGATTTGAAGACTGGCTATACCACCTGCTAATGGTACCATTTTAGGCAGGTTACTTAACGTCTCTAAGCCTCAGTTTCTTCATCTGTAGTCAAGGATACTAATAGTACCTACTTCAGTGGCTTGTTTGATGATTGGTTGAGGTAATGCAATAAAGCATATAGTGAGGTGCTTGGCACAGAGTAAGCCCCAATAAATATTAACTATTTCTACAATTATTATTAGGAGGACAATGCAATAACCTTCGTGTGAGGTGGTATGGACCTGATGATGGTGGTGGCAATTGATAAGGAAAGAAGGGAGCAAATGGGAGATCTTAGCAAGGAAAAACTGCCAGGATTTTCTGACCTATGGGACTGGTTAAGAAACAGACATCTCCCATACCTCTTGTTGGATAACTGGGAAAATGAGAAAAATAGGAAGAGAAGTGGTTTTGGAGGAAAGATGACACCTGGAATTTGCAGTAAAATTTATGAACATTTAAGAAAAAATTACTTTAAAAAATCTGTTTTGTTTATAGGTGTGTGTTTTAGACATTTTTATTCCTGATAAAGGATGAATCCTTTATCATGGTGTCATACACTGTTTGCCTGAGGCATACATCTTAAGATAAAGTGCTTCATTAAGCAACATCAAGAATGGTACCTTCTCTGCCAGGTGGCTGGCCTCCACAGCAATGTCTGTGCCAGAATTTCCCAATCCAATCACAAGAACTTTCTGGTCCTTAAATATATCTGGATGTTTATACTGTCGGCTATGAAAGTACTGGCCTTTAAAGGTATTTATACCTATAGAAAAAAATAAGAAGTCAAATAGAGAATTTAAGGGGTCAGTGAATGAAACATACATATTGTTCAGTTAATAACTGAATGATTGACAGATGATTTAGGTTCTTTTTAATAGCATACTCGATTTTAAGAAAATCTGAACTATGAATACATGACTTTACATGATACAGAAATCAGTGAGTGATTATTTATTTAGTGGAGTTGCTTACTCCATCTCAGTAGATAGGCCTCTAGTTTTATTTACTAGATGTTTAACTACTAAGTTGAAATATTGTGGCATAAAGACTTATTAAGCGCAGGTGCAAGGAGTCAATACCATTTAAAGGTTGCTAGAAATCAATGGGACAGTAATAGTTTATTTACTAATATTTGATTTATTTAGAGCTTTTCACAAGCAAGGAGCAAGAGCAGAGAAGTTAAAGGGAACTATGAGTCAGTGCCTCCACTCAATTCAGCAAACTTTTTTGGACACCTGCTATGTTCCTGGCACTACGCTAGATGATACTGGGGAAATAAGATAAATAAAATGTGGTTCCTATTCAAAAAGATCCATGTGGGTTGGGGAAGTTTACTGATAGTTCATGTTGGTGACTCATGGTAACTCAGGCTGTGTTTGCCGAGTCAGCCAGGGTTGCCTCAGAGAAAAAGGGATTATGTTAGTTACACTGGGATTAAATCTGCTGTTCTAACTCGATAGGATATCTCAGGCAGTTGACGCCAAATCACATCGAAACATCAAATGAGAATGAAGTGTTTTGGAGAATACGCTCAAGGTTTCATAACATAAGCAAAAGTAATATGGGCTATAGAAAGAACCCGTTGTTTTCCAGAAAAAAAGATAAGATATCTAGATTCTCAGGGGATAAATATGAATGCCTGTGGCAAGTAGCCTTATCAACACCTGGTAACTCTTCAGTTCATCTTGACTCATATGAAATATGACATGAATCCCAGTTAAAATCCAACCACAATCCAGAGCATTTAGAATTTAACAATTCTAAAGTTAAAATAGTAAGTTTTTAGTAACTTTGCTAAGTTAAAATAGTAAGTCAGCACATGGGTCCAATGTGGATCAGAGAACTGCTGAGAAGGGAGAACTGGACAAGTTTAACGAGAATCATGCAGTTATCCCTGGATGTTAGATTATTTCAGATTCTCTCTGGATCAGGCTCTTTTGGATCACAAATGGACAAAAATGAGACTCTGTGGCTGAGTCTCCCATCAGACGAACACTTTCTCCTCTTATATTACAGGAGGACAGAGCAAGTACATTTATCAGGTGAATGTGGTTGTGTTAGTCAACACACCAGAATGTATATATCTGAATGAATAAAAATAGTCACCTTGGGAAGTTATACGTTTATTCTACCTGTGATACCCATTATTTTTACTAAGCCTGTTTGGACATTTTCTTTGGAATTGCCTCCAGAGCTCATGACACATGTCTTTGAATATCTTCAAAGAATTTGAAATTTTGTAACAGTTAACGACTACCCCAGGGAGTATGCACAGATTAAGCAAGTCTGCTTTGAGGCAGAGAGGGAGATGGTGAGATTTGGAGGATTCCATTTGAAGTCCAAAGTCACAAAATTGTAGAGCTCAAAGCCTCCTTAACAATCATCTAGCCAGGGATTTCAAATGGCCAATTGTTGGTGGCTTGTAAGATGAAGATTGAGAAGGACTATAAGTCCTGTAGAGCTCTACTTGCTTGATTTGTGGTGTATGCTGTTGGGTAAGTGGGTGGCCCAAGCCTCTCAATTTATGGGCAAAAAAACAGAGGCTTAGAAAGCTTAAGTGGAAGGCCCATGATTATTTAGCTTGTTAGTTGTATAGCCTAGAATCTATATCTCCTGGGTCTCAAGCTCACCCTATTCAAACTGAGTATCTTGGCTCAGTTGCTTTCAGGGTATGCTTTATCTTAATCTGACCTGACTTGAGTGACACCTGGGGGGCAGATCCAGGACCATTGGAGATACATGAGTTTGTTGTAAAATGAGTGTTGATATTACCCCAGGTCATATGTAGATTGTGATTCCTCCACTGGACTCCTATAAAACTCTATTTATTCCTTCTATAAAGGCTACATGTTTTCTTACCCACTTCCATATTCTTAGTGCCTCATGCAATATACCATAGGTGCTGAATAAATGCAATGTACTCCCTATGCCATGGAACTTTCTGGATTCTTGGAGTGATCCTGTACCACGCACTCTTTCCTGGGAGTTTGGAGTAGCTAGCTGCTCAGGGATTTTCTCTGCAGGCAAGAACTGACAAAGGATTGGGTTGTCTTGTGGATGGTGAGAGTTCATTGTTGAATGTGTTCAAGCAGAGGCTATTAGAGACTCTGAGGGATGTTGGAGAAGAGTTTCCTGCATTGGAAAGAAGACTGAATTTGGTGCTTTCCAATTCAAGGATTCTCTTCTATGGCAGTTTTCAGGATATGCTTTATCCTAACTTGACCTGATTTGAGTAACCTCTGGGGGCAGATCAAAGGCCATTGGAAGTATGTGAGTTTATTATATGAGCCTTGAGATCACTCCAGGTTGTATTTAGATGATTCAGAAAAAAATTTCCTAAAGTTTTGACTTTTGAATCCTTACTGCCGATGAAATAAACCAAACCATTGCATTTTCTATTCCGAGTTGTAATCCAATTGAAATTTTGCATAAATTAACATGAATCATGGTTGCAAAAGCCAGATAAAGAAACTGAGACCCAAAGATGTCTTAACTTGCCTCCCAAGACTCATCTCCCTGTTAACGATTGACCCAGTGCCATAAACCTCTGATCTAGCTAAACCTGTATAAAACAAACAAACAAAAATCAAACGATTTTTTCCTTCTTTCACTGATTGACCATTGCGGCCTCTAAATTCCTCTCTGGCTATGTGCTGCTGCTGAGGCTAGCAACTTGTGTAAGCATCCCATGTCTTAGAAGACTTACTGAGTGCTGCCAGTCACTTAAGGAGGAGCACTGAATTTCAGTGAAGCGTAAAACTGCTTATTAGTTATTCATTCTACTCTTCCATACTAATAGATTGTTTGGAACAAATGAAAGCCAAAAACGGGCCAGAAAGTGTTGGTTAGAAAAAAACCCCTGGTACCTCACAACTTTAACTATTTAATGGAGGAATCATAGGAATTCATTCCCAGACCAATCCAGTAGGAAGCTGGCTCCCTTGAGACAAATGAAGGTCAGTTGCAGAAAATGCTATACCTGGAAAGGAGTCTAGCGGCAAAAATGGGTTAGTGAGAAAACCAGTGCAGACCATGACAGCATCAAAGATGGCAGACTGTTGCTGCGTTTCACGCAGAGTGATCACCTCCCATTGGCCGGTGAGAGCAAAATCTGGGCGTTTTGTTACACTGCAGACTTTAGTCTGAAAAAAGAATCACAGACATGATTAATAATTGTCAAAGTTCCAGTAGGGGCTTGCTGACTGATGTGCCAGTTGACATTTCAAATGTTCTAGAGCCCAGACTATACATAGGTAATAAGCATAACCCTAGAAATCGAATTGGGCTGTCAGATTAATCATAATTTCCTGGATGGAAGTATTCTAAGCTTAGAGACGTAGAGGGGTATTTAAGAGAGGTGGTGAGGTCCAAAGATTTTAAGTGATTTGCTCAAATTCTCACAGTAAGTGATAGAATCAAGATAATAACCTTGGTCTTCTGTTGTCTTCATTATTCTTTCTGTTACATATATTTCTCATAGAGTTGTCTCTTTCACAACAGTTCCATTAATAGAGAAATGGGTAATATATAATTGAAAATATAAATTTGGTCCCAAGTATCTTAGCTTGTGAAAATTCTTATAGACTATGTTGCTAGAGAACTATTGAAAAGCGCTAACTTTATGGCCTGAATTTTTTGGGAGTAGTCCAATTTCAAGTAGTCTATTTTTTGTTCTCATCAAGTACATATATGTCCATGGGTACTAGGTTCTGATTCAGAAAATATATAATATAAATGTACAAGTCAATTTTAAAAGCATAAGTGCTCCACAGATCAAGAGACTTTCTTGCCTTTTTTTCTTTTTCAGTTTTCATACAAGGCTTCTCAGGTCCTTCCTAACTGGTTCACTGTTTGGTTTACAACATTTGAAGTGCTTGTTGGATTTCTACATTTGTATTAGCAGCTCTGCCTTTTTAAAATATAAATTTTTGATTAAAAACCTTTCAAAATAAAGTTTATTTTCATCATAAAAATAATAAATGTTCATCAATGAAAATCTGGAATGTATAGAGAAGAAGGAAAAATAAAACCTCTCACAGGCAGTTGCTCGTGTGTGCTTTCTTAAAACTTTGGTGAACATCTAGCTTTTTTTTTTTTTTTTAGTTATTTTAAAAAAAGCTTGGGCAGCATGTAGTAAAGAAAATGCTTCCGATTCAGGAATTCTGATGTGTTAAAAAATATTTATGTGTATTATATCCATTCACTATGGTAGTGTTTTATTCTTACTGTATCCCTTGTGAAATAAGGAAGTGGGATAAAATACTTTTTGGAAAACTGGAGTACTTTTATTTTTCTCCAGTTTTATTGAGATATAATTGACTTATAATATTGTATAAGTTTAAGGTGTACAATATAATGATTTGATATATATATATTGCAAAATGAATGCTACAATAAGTTTAGTTTCAACATCCCTCACTTCACATAGTTACAATTTTTTTCTTGTGATGAGAGCTTTTAAGATTTACTCTCTTAACAATTTTCAAATATACAATACAGTATTGTCAACTATAGTCACCATGCTGTACATTACATCCCCAGAACTTATTCGTCTTATAACTGGAAGTTTGTACCTTTTGACTGCCTTCATCCTTTTCCCCACCCCACACTCTCCACCTCTGGCAACCACCAATCTGTTGTTTCTATGAGTTTTTTTTTTTAAATTTCACATATAAGTGAGATCATGCAGTATTTATCTTTCTCTGTCTGACTTATTTCACTTAGCATAATGCCCTCTAGGTCCATCCATTTTGTTGCAAATGGCAGGTTTTCCTTCTTTTTTAATGGCTGAATAATATTCCATTATATATATAACATACCACGTTTTCTTTATCCATTCATCTGTCGATGGACTCTTAGGTTGTTTCCATGTCTTGGCTGTTGTAAATAATGCTGCAATTAACATGGAGGTGCAGATATCTCTTCGAGATAGTGATTTCATTTTGATCAGAAGTACTTTTAAGGTTGTGAATATGAATCTTATTTGCTACTTATTTTAGTCAATCTTTCCATTCATATTGCTTTCTCTGTGTAATACCCTATGAATTCCTTACCATCCCCATCTCTGATAGGGAGGTAGATAGGAGAAGGGGAATGCATGGATTTTCATGTGTTTCTTGGAGAAGAAGGAAAAAAAGGAAAAAAGAAAGGATATATTCATTTACCTATGTCTTTCTACCTTCCTTCTGTCTCTGTCCTCTGAAATGGGAAGGGAGGTGAGTAGGCCCTATAAGAAGAACAATACTCAAAGATTTTTCTATTCCGACAGATATCTAGAAAAGATTGCCTTCAGATAGTGAGGTTTTCTTGTGTATGGGCCATTGCACATGTCGATTCCTATAAAGGGATGGTCAAGAAGAGAGGACTCAGGGGCTGGTAGGAGTTAGCAATGTCTCTATGTGCAGGCATTTGGCCCAAGCTGAAAATGTGGTTTGATATTTTTAGGTCTCTTTGGATACTTGGATGTAAGTATGGCAAATTAAAATTTCTTTTTTTTTTTTTTGTGAGGAAGATCAGCCCTGAGCTAACATCCATGCCAATCTTCCTCTTTTTACTGAGGAAGACCCGCCCTGAGCTAACATCTATTGCCAGTCCTCCTCCTTTTTCTCCCCAAAGCCTCAGTAGATAGTTGCATGTCATAGTTGCACATCTTTCTAGTTGTCGTATGTGGGACACTGCCTCAGCATGGCTGGACGAGTGGTGCGTCTGTGCGCGCCCGGGATCTGAACCTGGGCCGCCAGTAGCGGAGTGTGCGCACTTAACCGCTAAGCCACGGGGCCGGCCCCCTGGCAAATTAAAATTTTACACACCTGAATTCTTACACAAAGTATCCACCTCCACCTCCAGAGGGTGTAAGTACAAGGGGAAAAGGAATCCAGCCAAGCGTCATCTGTCTCGCCAGTTCATTATCTCATCTAGAGAGCCCAGGGCTAGGCTATAGAGAGATAACAGAAAACAGGTGGGAAATACTTCTTGACTACTATTCCATGTTTCATGTCTTACCTTGAATTGAATGTATTTCTGAAGGTTGAACTGGTTTGCGTACATCTTGAGATATTCCAGAAATTGAGAATGTGGCAAATAGTTTGGCCAATCTTCTGGGAAGGGAAAGTCTGAGTAACAAGACATCTCCTTGCAGCTGTTGGAAACCACAGACTTGTAGATGCTGGCTCTGCCTTCTTCAACATCTTCCTGTACAGTGTGTGCACATGAGCACATGTGTGTGCATGTGCGTGCACACATATGAAAGAGATGTTACAGTTAGACATTTCAAACATTGATAAAGATTAAGGTGACCCTTTCTAATGAGATTTGTTATAGAAATGGTGAACACTGGACCCTACTATGAATTTCATGATCAGAATTATAATCTTGTTCATTACGTGCTAACAAATAAACCTGGGATGAACTCACCTGTTCAGATTCACACGGTATCACTGGAAAGTACAGGAGAATATGGAAATAGACCAGAACCAGGAAGCAGCACCTGGATGAGGGACAATTGCTAGGTACTTTGGTTTCACGGGGTGTTGTTGAAAGGATTGTGGAGAAGAGGGGTTCAGATCATGAAGGATTTTGAATCTAAAGTTAAGGAATCTGGATTTTAAGGAAGGTTATGGCAGTCTTCTGAATGTTTTATCATGGAAGTGATTCATGTTACATTTTGGAAAGATAATTCTAGTTCTACAAAAGATGAATTAGGGGGATCTGGAAAGGAAGGAAGGAGGCTCGTTAAGAGCCTAAAACACGATTCTCCATGATTGCTAATGAGGGCCCATTAATTTAAATTGAATGAAATAAAAAATCTAGTTCTTTAGTCATATCAACTACATTTTGTAGTACTTATGGCTGGTGGCTACCTTCTTGGATAGTAGAGCTTTAGAACATCGTTAAACTTGAAGCAAGGAATTAGGAGTTAGTTTAGTGTTGGTTTGATTTAATTAAAAGTGATCAAGGTTCAGGGCCGACCCCGTGGCTTAGCGGTTAAGTGCGCGCGCTCGGCTGCTGGCGGCCCGGGTTCGATCCCAGGCGCGCACCAACGCACCGCTTCTCCGGCCACGCTGAGGCCGCGTCCCACATACAGCAACTAGAAGGGTGTGCAGCTATGACATACAACTATCTACTGGGGCTTTGGGGGAAAAAATACATTAAAAAAAAAAAAAGTGATCAAGGTTCCTCCGGGTTTTAGAAAAAAAGAGAATAGGAACAGCTGTAAAGAGCTGTAATATTGAGAAATGAGAACAAGCATCAAGGGAAAAATTATTGTATAAGGAGAAAAACACCATTATAAACATTTTGGGGTCAATTAGGCCAAAGCTCCCTTCCTTTTCGCTGGCTTCTGAGAGCATCCCATAGTAAATAATACTTTGTTAATAGTGTCAATTTTTTTTTTAATTTATTTTTTTTCCCCACAGCCCCAATAGATAGTTGTATGTCATAGCTGCACATCCTTCTAGTTGCTGTATGTGGGACGCAGCCACAGTGTGGCCGGAGAAGCGGTGCGTCGGTGCGCGCCCGGGATCCGAACCCGGGCCGCCAGCAGCGGAGCGCCTGCACCTAACCGCTAAGCCACGGGGCCGGCCCAATAGTGTCAATTTTGAGACGAAGTCAAGATGGCAGCGTAGGCAGACTCTGAACTCACCTCCTCCCGCGGACACAGCCAATTTACAACTACTCGTGGAAAAATTACCCCTGAGACAGAACTGAAAACTGGATAAGAGGAACTCCTGCAAAAAAGGACAATCCTAATTGAGGTGGAAGAGGCAGAAACTCCCTTCTGGAGAGGAAAAACACCGCCTTCACAAGATGCAGCGCCTCACGGCCGCCCGGGAGCAGCCCACATGTACGCAGCCCTCCCTGGAGGAGTGGGCCCGAGCCAGGGAGCGCCCCTGCTGTGGGCATTGTGTGGACCCAGCACAATCGAGACGAGTGGCATAATATCTGACTTTGCCTGCTACTAAAACATTGGGGAGTACCCCCAGAAATGCTGGTTCATAAAGAAATTAAAACTGGCTCTTAAGGGGCCCATGCGCAAACTCACCCGTTTCAGAAAGCAACCTAAAATCACCAGAAAGAAAGGTACACAGTGCTTTGGTGAAAAGAGACTCACCTAATAGGCCCTGAGTGCATCTCAGTGAGAGGTGAGACCTCTCCAGGGACTGGGACATTGGCGGTGGCCCTTGTTGTGGCCTGGTGTGGGCGTGCTGACACAGACGCCATTGGAGTTCTCCCTGGGGCTTGCTAGCCCAGGTCTGCCCCACCCGCTAGAGCACCGATTTAATCCAACTCAGCCAGGGCAGGCAGCCCACACTAGCGACTGGCCCCACCCAACAACAAGCCCTCAGGCAACTTTTGGGCCTGCATAGATTGGTGACTGGATTCTCTGATGCCTGGCAACTAAGCCGATTTCAGTGGGGCAGGGCGTGCACAAGGAGCAGGTGGAGAGTGTGGGGCAGTGGTGGAGTGTATGGGGCTCCCACCGTGGAGAGACTGGGTCCGCTTTGGGAGGTTGAGGCACGCACACAGGACAGGACTGTGTTGACTGTGTGTGTGGACCTGTGGGCAGCAGGGCTTGTCAGCTGCAGAAGACTTGTGCTTCTCAAAGACCCACATAGGGGGTTTGCCCCACCTTCCAAAGCCTGAAACAATTGGGTGCTCC